GATGGAAATCGTATAATTTAAGTGCACAAAAACGTGGAATAGGTAAATTATGATAGTAATATTTTATTAATATTTTATAAATACATACCTATTATTAATTTTCTATATATGCTTAAGCATATTTTTATTTACATGCTTAATTATTTATTTACAACAGAGAAAAGAATTCGGAATATTTAGATTAGAAATTATACAGTGCATTTCAGTTTAAAATTGTATTTCAATCTGTAGTATTGGAATGCGTTTATAAATACATAATATGTAGGTATAAGATAAACATTTGGTGTGACAGCGTAGCACATAAATTATAATTTCGTATAATGCAAGCGTTTAAGACATTTGCATAAAAATATGTTTGCCACACATTTTGATATGCGTATTGTATTTGTGTGTATATTAAAATCATATTAATATTTAAAAAGAAATCACAAGTAGTACATACATATATAATACTGGATATTTTACTAAGTACTTAAAAATATCCTAGGTTACGTTTAATGGCTCGTAAAATATAACGTGTTAAAGACTGTTTGGCGATGCTTGTTTGTAGAGACATATTTTCGCGGCGCGTCGGCTTCGTGCACTCGCATTCATAAACCACCCGGTCCCTGACCCCTTAAAACACTAACACGTTAAATGATATAAAATCAAAATTCAGCAACAATAGCCTATCTAATTATGCCTCAAATCACGTATCCGTTGTGCTTCGATATCACAGTACGCGATTCCTATAATTCAATTTGATATTAATTTAATGGCTAATTTAAAACGTATTAAAAATTGTGTTAAGCACACGGACCGCGATCGTATTTTCCGTTGTAAACATGACGGCGGGCAGCGTGATGTTTTATGTATCGCGAGTGCAGTTCAGAAGGAAACTCTTATTATAATTCTGCGCGGATGCCGTTGGCTCTAACATCGTGCGCTGACAGTCAAACACATCTCCCGTGAGGCGTGCGAAAAGTAAAAGCAAATCCTTCTATACCTTCGAGATACGTCTCTACCTTGAACATATTATATATATGCATATTATCTAAAGACAACAATTATTATGCAAACAGAATTGGTTTAAGAATGTCCTTATTTTGTTACAATTTTCAAAATTATGTTGACATTTCTTCAGATGACAGGTGCCAAACTGGTGATAGTGCGTAAATTGGCGATACGTGTGTCGCATGTCACGAAACATATCGAACGCTTTGGTGTGCCGCCGTCAAATTGAACTGTGGTAGGTCGCGATGTCTTAACCGTTCCGACGCCCCGCGCATATCGAACACTAGAATTGCTCTCACAACTTGCACCGCCTAACTAATATAGAACTGGACTGTTTTCGAACGTCCGCTACATACGAATTTTCGAACACCACTAGTCTGAGTAATTATTATCCAAAAGAACGCCGCCCTTGATAGGAAATGGTCGATAACTTAATTTCGTTGTGCTGTGGGTCAATAAATTATAATTTACGACTCTATGGGCATCAACTGCTTTGAAAAAACGGGCCTTTAATAGAAACGTCTTTTTTAGTCGTATCTATCGTCTTATGAATATTTTGACCGTTTTGTAAGCTTATTGCCTTGAGACAAGGAGAGAACCTTGATGAAGATTGTAGTCTCTTTCTATGAGGCAATTGCATCAATAAACCCATTCACGTTACTTTAGTGAGTAATTGCGTCACATCTATTATTTGGCCATAAATATTTGTGCTCAATTATAAATTAATTTTACAACAAATTAACTCTATTAAATTCAAAAAATTGTACGCATGGATATTAGTTATTACATATAGGTATATTTATATAAAATTAAAAAAACACCTAATTGAAAAAAATCTATAGTCATTTTAAAAACAGCCACTAAACTTATAACATGAAATTATATTATAGATAAGAAACATTTATAAAGGGTAGATATTATTAATCCTATCCTCGAGCTAAATTAAAATATTAGTGACTTTCTTCCAAATAGGGCACTAGAGCGAGACGGGTATAGTTTTGCGTGTGAGTCTTCTAATGTTAGAAGGGTTTATGAGTTAAGTGTGTGGAGGGGCCCATCCATCATGGCTATCGGCGCCGGCGCAAGATTTCTGTACGTTTACCGCCAAGAATTTTTCAATTTTAGACCATCGTAACATTTAGTCATCCTCCATCACAAAAATTAGCAATTCAAGTAACAGTTTCTAATATATTATATTATACAAAATTACCGATTAAAAATTTGCCATACAAAAAAAGTTATTCGAACTTTCACCGCTAGACTATAAAACGCTAACAATGGAAACGTCTATAAAATTTTATTGGTGAATAATTATCAGATTCCTACCGAAATGGTGTGATAAACTTTATTGATCGTTATATCGATATCCGAAGCGAATCTCTGAGTGGCGTGAGGGATCTAACGAATTCGACACGGGCTATAACGCAACGTGAGATTGACTAAGAATAATTAAAAAGTAGCAAGTGCCTAATGGAAGGTAAGTGAACTTGCATGCGAGCATTAATTGTATTTATTCTGAACGTAAATATTTTTTTGTGATAAAAATGTCGTTTTATAAACAATTATTACAATTTATTATTGTATCAAGTGGATCATTATACGTAGGTATGTATAAAATCGCTTTTATAATATTTTAATTGTTTAATGAACTCGGTGTTATGAGGCGTTTTTGTTATCATATAGTTTTGCAAACTCCATAGTTTTACAACATCCGACCTTTAATGTCGATGATGAGCTAAAAACTTGAATTTTACTATTGTGGATCATAAAAGTGGCTATATTTAGCCTACCTATTTAGCTTACCTATTGGTACAAAATATATTTATTATGACGCGCCTTCATTTACGTCAGATGTTTAATTACTTCCCTAATGATATTTCATGTTTTATATCATTGCAGGAAACAAAAACAAAGGTATAAAAACAAAAAGCTTTTGAAGTAAAAACCTCATAGAATCAACACGATTAACCGACTTAGTTTAAAAAGAAGACACATTGTTCTGTTAAACGCTGGTTTCGGCACGAAGCTCCCTATATCAAGAGGGAATTTTAAAATGTCCTAAATAATAGTACTGCTATGCAATAACAACCTTTATTTCAAAAGACACAAAGTTTATCATAAGTTTAATGCACTCAAAATGGTGCGATTCACGTGTTCCACAAAAATTAACCTAAGTGTGAAAGAAATAAAATTTAATATCGCTTGACATCAATAAGATTTTTGCATCGAATGGAAAGGTGGTGGTTATTTATACAAGGTGTATGTTGCCATGCACTGTTTATGTGAAATTAAATATGGTTTAATAGTTTACTAGGAACGGGTTAGGGCTTTTAAATTAGTTGGCGCAATTTTATAACACGCCTCACTTATAGCGTTACTTATTTTGTGTAATCATTAAGGTGATTATTATAATATGTACAAACAATTTAGGCTATCAACTGCCATTAGTAGGTACCTATGCGAGAAATATGAATTATAGACATTTAAAGTTTTGATGAAGTCTAAGTATAAAGCTGGAGACACACTGGTGATATAACAAATTAAAAATGATGATTATATTAATGTAGTAGGTAATAGATTAGAAAGTCTTTAGGAAGTTTCCCTCAAAAAATTTAAAATAATCGTATTCAAAATTTTCCAAATTATTTGTTGTAATTAATACGTAAGCTTCATTAAACTTATAAGTGTAGTACATAGATAACGATTTAATATCTTAATATGTAAAATTCCCGTGTCACGATGTTGGTCCGCGAAGAACTCCGAAACTACTTATCCGATCTTAACGATTTTGGGTGATTATTTCAACTTAGAAGATGGGATAGTTTCTATCCTGGTTATTTCTTTTTTTTAATGGAAAAATTTTAAGTTTTCATATCCGGAGAGGGATTCCGAAGAGAGAATCTGAGAAACAGCTACTCTAAGCTAGAAATTTTACCCCCGAGCTAAGAAAAAATTATAAGTCAGCTAGTTGTTTTATATATTATAATCTAAACAAGTTTCATTTAATATAAGAGTACCTACGCTATATAAAAGATAGGTACCCAATTAATGCGATACTTATGTTAATATGTACGTTTTAATAATATATTTAAAATAATTAATCAGGCACGAATAGATTTTTTTTATATTGTATTTTTGAAGTTTATACGCAATAAAAATTAAAATAAACATTTATACGTATATTAAATGTAATGGTTCTGTTACGTTGTGGTTTGATCCTAAACTTTTGTTTCGTGTCGGCGATTGTGGAGTGGTGGTGGATCGTGCAAAATTATTAATTGCCAAGCAGTCTTGGAGCGGTGTGGTTAGGTCGGTCCTGTACTACAAGCCAAGATATATTGACAGTGTTGTATAATATATTGATTATGTAAAACGTTTTATTGAAAACTAAATATAAATTATAAGTACATAAAATAAAAAAGCTAATTTCTTCTTTAATTCATATTGAAAATAATTTATAGGCAACAATTTTTTTTATTATTTCGTTGATCCAAAAGTTCATATTTTGCTACTTAGTGTCGTTAGCAAAATCTAGCAACAAGTTCTAAGAACATTAAGGCTACATTTTAAAAGTTCACAATGTGTCACAGGAAAATTACTTACACGAGTTTCTTGTAATTCATCATTAAGATGCAACACAGTTGTATGGAAATAAAAACGTAAAGTACTATATTTAAATGTCCTAAGGCAATTGAGGTATTTAATTGTGGTATTTATAGATAATTTTTTATAATTACATTCAATGCCCTTTTACATTTTAATTTTTAGCATACACGTGTAACGAGTGAACATTTAGCCTTTAAAGTTTCTTATATAGGTATTTATGCAAATTATACTAAATAGTCCTATTTGAAAATAAATTAAAAAATCTAGTATATTGTCCTTAATTTAGAACAACATAACTTTCACCGCAGTTCATAATATTTCAAACGTGAATGTTTTCAATTTAGCTTAAATCATAATATTTAAGAATACCTACCTGTTAATAATATAAAAATTGAAATACAATGCGCTCGATATGGTCAAATACCCTAAAAGAACATCCCTGGGGCAAAGTAACCGACCAACTTGGAGTGTATAATAATACCTATTTACGTAACTACATACGAAGATATGTGTACGTGCAATATCTATATGTGGAAACCTCCTTAGTAAATGTAAGCAATTACTCTTTATATAAATTTCACTTTAAAATTTGAGAATATTCTAGTATAATTATAATTAATTACCTAATACGGAAGATAATTTGAAATATTGCTTATAAAATTATAATATTTTATTAAAAATATATTCTAACGTAAGTACCTAGCCTAACATAGATTTGTTGTTCATATTACATAAAATACTAGCTTTAAACCACGATTTTGTTCGCATGTACATATATATATATATATATATATATATATATATATATATATATATATATATATATAATTCTTCTGTGAGTGTGTATGTCACTGAACTTCTCTCAAACGACTGGACCGATTTTGATGAATTTTTTTGTGTGTGTTCAAGGGGATCTGGGAATGGTTTAGATTCACAATTTAAATAATAATTATCATCAAAAAATTATTAAAAAAAGTTTGAAATTTTCAAATTAAAGACGTGTAGACAGGACAACGTCTGTCGGATCCACTAGTATACATATATTTTAATTTAGTTTAAGAACAAGTATGTTCTTGGAGCAACAGATTAGTGTATGAAAAGTTTATTGGCTATGAAAACAAAATTAATAAAGATCAATGTCGTCTAATAATAAATTATATGAATGAGTATGTTCTCAGCAAGCAAAAAAGTGGAATAGTAACAAACAATTGTAAGGTAGAAAGTCACGGTTCGATTGTACGTAACCGATGATTTCCGATGCAACGCGTAATAATACCCACCGACCTAATGATATTTTCATGTTGCCATCAACGTAAGCAAAAAATACAAAACACGACCAAATCCGTTATAGCACGTATTTCTTAAATAAGAAAAAATGAAGAAGCGTTTTAACATTTACTAAGAACCTTGGCTAAATTAGGTAATGTTGATATGTTCTAAATTTTAAGAAAAAATCAGTGTAAAAACAATTTTAAGTCACGGTTCGGTTTATCTACCCGATCATTTCCGATGTAACGCATAATAATCTTACATAAAACTTTGGAGTTCCCACCGTGGTTTTCGTGTATATAGTATCTACATACTTCTATTAAAAGATACTTAGGTATAGTATAATGCACTAGTAGAGTAAGTACATTAAGATATTTTTCATTACGTTTTTTCGTTAGGTACGGTATGGCTGAAAAAACGTTGCGTACCAAAAAAAAATGTTTGTATAAAATATACACGATATAAGCAAAAAGCAAAGTCGCTATTTTTGTCTGTCTGTTTTTCCGCTAACTCCTAAACCAAGCAACGGATTTTGATAGAATTTTCAATATCATTTAGAGAATTTGTTTCGGAAGGTTTACATACATAATATATGCATATTATAGTAGAGAAAAACCGAGAATTTGAAAGATTTGTCATGAAATTGTAAAAAATTAAAAAACATGTTTTTGGGCCCTTACATTGCTATCACTGGCTAAACCTTACGAGATAGATCAAAATAATGTACTACAGAATTGTAAATCTTAAAAAGGTTTACAAAATAGTCTAGGATGCTATATAATATATACGTATCTATCTTCTAAGGATAACCCACAGTAATCATTTTTATTTTTTACACATTACATAAAAATAATGGGTTTTTACGAAGCTATTTTAAACAATACAGTAGGGATTAATCCTTATCGAATTGAATAGATTTAGATACGTTGTGCATTTAATGTAGATCAAAATTGACCCTTACAGCATATCCTTAAAATGGATATTTTAGAAGATTCACAGATTGAAAATTATTAATCACTCGCAGTAGGTATAACAGCTAATATCTCTTCAAAACGATGTACTAGTAAATTGTAGGCCTTAAAAATCGTACAGAAAAGTCCGCGATAGCATATGTCTATCTTCTAAAGTACATTCACAATAACTATTTTTATCTATTTAAAATGTACCAAGGGACGCACCCGAGCGAAGCGAGTGTAAATCGCTAGTAATAAATAAATTTGCATAACATTGCGAGTTTTAAAATCGATTATAGTTTTTGTCATTATCGGGAATACCAACTCAATACCCTATATTATTCATAATTTCATGTAAATATGTAAAAATATTCAATTATAAATGGCACAAAGTTTTTAGAAAATACTTATGAGAAATTAATAATATAATAATAAAATAAACGATATTGTTGCAGTGCGACATTTTCGAGTTCCTGAAGATCATCGAGCTTTCATCAGGGCACACAAAAAGAAAGCACGCACACGAAGATGCACCCGGGTTTCATATTTATCACTTCACAGCTGCACCTATGATCGATCCTTATCCAAGATGGCCGCCGGCGCGCGTGAACTGGCGGGAAACAAGCGCAGACGCACCTCCTTTGCGCGGACATCAATCTTTTACACTGCACTTTGATTAACCTTCCTTTATTAATTAATCTTTCTTCTAAACACCAATAATCCGAATAAACGTCCTCGCACGTACACGATTTTTGCTGCACTAAACGTTAAAAAACTAAGTATTCAAAACTTGAAAGCCATAAAACATATCTCCCCCATTATTAGTTTATGGGTTGCGACTGTTACGGGGCTATTATGTTGTTATTTTTGTGTGTATTCAGCGTTTGTTTTGATTGTGTGCGGTGGACGGACGAGCCAATTTGGGGAACTATTACAAACGTCTATTGAGCATGTACAGCATTCTTTATGAAGTGTTATTCAAGGTCGTTTTACTTGTAGCAAAACATGCTTCAGTATGGCATTTAAACACAGTTAATGAAAACTAAAAAATACATAATTTAAAAAATACAATTTTATTGCATTCTATCTTAAGCTAATAAATATTAAAGAATAAATTGTTATATTTGCATAGGTAATTTAGATAGATTGTAAGATAATTGCATACCTTTTTTTATTTAGTATCTATTTTGTTGTATCCTTAATGGCACAAATGCAGTTTAACATTACTTTAATAATATAATTTGTTATACTACAAAATGTTACATTATAAGCAGTAACTGATTTGCATTCGGAAGGCATTGACAACATAAAGTAGAGCATCCTTCTTGTTCATGAGTCACGAGTGCCGAGTGCGTTTGTATGCATTCTACAGAAACTGAAGATTTATTGTCTTTTATTTCTTGCTTTACATTTAACCTTTTATTTAATTATACCTATTCATGTTTCGATAAGTATTACATGATAAATTAGATATTAGAAAGATATAAAGAAAAATAATTTTCATTGGGAATATCGATGTACACAAATGTGATTTTAAGTTTATTCTAGTTACCAATAAATAATCTATACAAATAATAAAATTGAAGTGTCTGTTTATAATTTCGAAATAAAAGCTTTTTATTAAATGCATATGAAATTATATACGGTAGGTACTTTAAGAAAAACACAATATTTAAAATGTTAGTCTGTCTGTTTGTTCCGGCTAATCTCCGAAAAGGCTGGACTGATTTTGACTGGATTTTCACTGACAGATGCTGAGCTGATGTAATAAGGAGTAACTTAGGCTACTTTTATTTTGGAACAAGAATTAGGATTCCACTCAAAAAAATTAAAACGTACCTACATAGGAACGCACCCGAGCGAAGCGAGAGTAAGTCGCTAGTCAACTATAAAATCAATAAAAATCATTTGTTCATAAAAAAAATAGCTGAAGATTAATGAAAAGTTCTCACCGAGTTCATTGAATGCTAATCAAGTTTTAGTAGAACAAGTTATTGGCAGACGTCATTCACTCACGACGCAATAGAAAACATTCCTTATGTCAGTGTTTTCAGCCTACGCAAATGTGAATTGGACCTAATAAATTCCTATTTATCTTGTTTATATTCAGTATTTACTCCATTACAATTAGTAATACTAAAACTGTAATTTATTCAATTAAGAATTGATTTATTGCACATAAAATGTATATTGTACAGTAAATTCCAAAAAATGTAAAATAAAAAACAGACTTTTAAAAATATTTATATAATTAACAAACATAGCGCTATCTACGAGTGTAAAACTTAAAAATAAAAAATATAGCATGGTTTGTCTAAAGATAAATTGTTAACGATTTGTTATTCGATGCGCATCGATGTTGTAGAGTAGCGTTCGTGGCGGGCTCCGTGTGACTCACGTATATATATCGTAAGGTGTTTTGACTTTCTTCGTAATAAAAATGCTTTAAAGTAATAAAAGACTAGCGACATACCGTCGCTTCGCTCGGATTCGTCCCTAGGTTGCTTCGAAATACAAACTTTCATCATGATGAAAACTATCCTATGTCGTTCCCAGGGTCTCAAACTATCTTTTTACCAAACATCTAAATCGGTTCAGTAGTTTAGGAGTCTATTCGGTACAAACAAACAAAGAAACAAATCTTTCCTCTTCATAGGTAATATTAGTATAGATATTAGTAGGTATAGATAGAACATAGTTTTTTAAATAGAAAAAACATGTGATTATTTAAATTTAAATAATAACTTTTCATTATAAACGTGTATTTAAAATAAGTACCTGTGTAGTATTATAAGTAATAAAAGTTATAAAGTAATAAACTATACTTATATAAATATATATAAATAATAAGTAATAAACTATATATAATAAATAATTAGTAAAAAACCGTGTGTAGTATTATAAGTAAGTAATAAACGTTATAAGTCTTTGCTTCTCACTATATTTCTTATTTATCTAGGGAACTATATTAAAGTGAATTACATGAAAACTACTTTTTGGTTATGCTTAGGTATTACATTCAGATAAACAGTAGAGAACGCCTAGAAAACGATCTCAAAATATTTTTTTATAATATTTGTAATAAATAATGTAAGCTTCTTCCTGAAAATACAATTTTTATAATCTAAAATCAAAACTTTTGCAATATAATGTGTTCTTTGTAACTTTTGTACGGCAACTTTACTTCGTTTCAAACCACATTATCGCACGTTTTAAATAATTGAGGTTCGTCCATTATACAAAAGATTGGGTATAGGCAGTTACAAATTACTTGTAGAGTAAACCGCCGGCCATTTTAAAACACACCAAGTTTCATAATTATGTTAGTGGAGGTACTTATCTTTTAGCTACCGTTTTCTAGAAAGTCCGAACGTCTCTATTTAATCTTTATGACTGATATGTAGAGATGGTTGGATGATTTTAAACAATGTAACTTTTTTACCTAAACTTTGAGAATATTTTTAGTAAAGTATTTCATATGGGTATTACCAAAATTAAAGATTTAATTTATTCATAGGAGTTTTATATGTTGTAAATATCATAATATGTACGGCAGGTACATTTATTAGGTGTGTTTAACATACTTGATTATCTATTAGAAGTTTTAACGATATCATTATAAAAAAATATTATCAACTAGCATTGCCCGCGGCTCCGCCCGCGTTTAGATGACCAAAAACCAAATTCTTAGGTTTTAAAGATTAATATATTGCAGTTTTTGCATCTTTTTCTCAGAAATGAGATATTTTCCCGTGGTAAAAAGTATCCTATATGTTGACCTGGACAACCAGCTATCACCATACCAAATTTCATCAAAATCCCTCCAATGGTTTTTCTGTGATGCGGTAACAGACAGACAGACAAAAATTCTACAAACTATAGATTCGGCTTTCGTATCGATAATAATGTTTATTTCAATAAGATTTTTCAAAAATTATTTTATGTACCTACAGATTCGGCTTAGTTACAATTTTATTATATGTATAGCTATCAGTTATAAATATTATACCTACTTTTTATTAAAATGCCGATTTATCATTGTCACTTTTCAGACATCGAATACGCTTGAAACAAGACTAAATGAAATCAGTTGTTCTTTTATATCAATTGAAAATAAAAATATGAAATAATAAGCAAGATGCATGTATGTAGCAACTAGGTAGTGATTACAATATCTCATTTCCCTTTAATAAAGGAGCATTTAAAATATTCTGCCTCGAGCGAAATTCAGTCGCCAATTTTGGAACCTGTTTAGAAATTATAGGGTCAGGCCGTGGCTTAAGGTTAGATGCAGGTTATTACAGACGGTAGAAAAACTCTAAGTGCAGCAGAAACAAAAGTTAACAAAAATATCCAAGGGCCTAGATTGTCCCTAGATTAGACCCATTTCGGTTATACTCGTAGTTCAGAAAAACAAAAACATTTTAAACTAAAATATCAAAGTAATGCAATTTTCAAGACTCTATAAACGGCAACTATTAAAAATAATATAGTCACTTAAAATATTCATGTAAATTCATAATATTCTTATTTAATATAAACTCGTTTCCTATATTAAAACAAAGCATCATATACAATTATAAGAGCTTCACAAGTTTTTTGCGTCCTGTATAATTCTACTAATGACGTTGCATTTTAAACGCATCAAATTAATCTCCAGTTTGTACTCGTCCAGTTAATTGCATACAATGTATAAACTAAATACAGTGTTCCGTACAAAATCAAATATTTTCAGTTCAAACATTCATACTATACTATACTATATCAATACTAGCGACTTGCCCATTCTACGCTCGGGTGCGTTACTCCAGGTTATACCCTATCTATGTACTAAATATCCAAATTCGTCCAGCTGTTTTAGCGCGGAGGAGTAACAAATACGTAACACATATGCATATTTTCGCAAATATATGAACATAGGCAGTCCGATGTTTTTTGGTAGGTAGTGCCTGTTCTATTTTTAACAATCACAAAAATGTTAGATCACCATTGCAGGAACCAACCGTTTAAATAGAATATGAAAAAGTAAAACTACGTGAACCAGTCAAGTCTTATCTACTCTAATCTCGCCAAAAAAATAGAGCACTAAAGTAAGTTAAATGAATTTCATAGTATTTTTATAAAACTTGTGGTTTCTTTTTTACAATTATATTAATAAAGGCTTATTACATAAAATTATTCACACAGTCGCCGCTCTACCTAAAGGCTAAATCTGAAGGCCCCTAAATCATTATTTGTATGCAAACAATTTCTGACGAATGATTTATAAGGAACTACACTACGCTTTTTTTTCTCGTAGTAATTATAATTATATAGTTAATTTATCTCATGTTTTCCAAATGTATGATGAATTTTCTTATTAAAAAACACTAATTAAGTTATTAAAAATATGGTAGGTACCTACTTAGAAACATTGTGAGCCATATTTTATTACAGTTTGATTTAATTGTGGATTCATAAATTTGAAATTTCCTGTAATGATTTTTTAAGTGTTCATAAAAATGCTAATAACCTTTTCAGTTAAGATTAAAAAAAATCTTGTATATAAATCAGGATGAATAATTACGTGGGAAAATATTATTTTATATGAATTATGAATTAGGGCATATAAACTATATTGAATGAATTTAGTATAGAAAAAAAAATATCTTTAATGGAAAATAAAATTACAATGTATACGAATTCATAAGGACGAGAGCAGTCAAAGCTCATACGGTCCACATGGACGCGGCCTTGTATTGTTTTCGCGGGCCGTGTTGCGTGAACTCGAGTGAAATATGGCCGACAGTTCGACTACTCATTTTAGTTATTTTTATTTTTTTAGGCCGTGTTACTTAATTTTATCAAGTCACATGAGTTATGAGAATCGGGACCACACGCGCGTCGTGTTAATTACGCGTTAGTAATGGCCCTGCCTTAGCAGGTTACTTGAATTTAACAATTCAATCCTAGGTATGAAGATAAATTTTATGAAAAAATTTACGAATTTCATTTACAACATATTTTTCTTTAAAATTGTAATCATACTACGGCCTATTGAATATTAAAAATCAAATTGCTTGTAGAATTTCTAATAAGATTTGTTTTGTAATTCTAGTTACAACGTATTCCAATAAGTACATAGATAAACTGAACTATAAGCTCTTATATTTTGCTATCATAAATAAATGAGTTAATATTTAAGCATTTTTCTTTCATAATGTAAGGATATATTTCATTATTTTCTAAAAATAGTGGACGAACGGTTCGTAAAATATGATATGAGTCATTATAATAATGATAATATTGTGTTAATAATTTAAATAGTGACTATTTTTTGCTAAGCACTATTTTTCTGAAGGTCTTGTATTATTTGTGTTTCATTAGTTGTCCAAATAATTGGTCATTTAAAATGGTAAGCATTAAAGCTAAGATAATAAAAATACCCAAACTAGATCGGGCCATTGACCCGGGCGGAGCGGCGCGAGCGCTCCTACTTGTGGGCTCTAAAATGTTGCACGTCATAATATTATGTTGGCGGTGACATAAAATAGTAGCGTATGAAATTTTTACTACTAATAATTTTATATGATATATTTTTTTATTTACTAATATCAGAGTTAATTTTTTTATCTACTCTTAAAAATTTTGGAGTCCACATTAAATACCTATTTTAACGCAATTCAATAATATTATATAATGTTCATATATACAAACAGTTTTTAATTTTTTACCTACCTACTCATGATTTATTTTATATTCCTTTATTTTTTTGATATATAAATTGAACAGATCATTATTTTACATAATAAAAATCGAATATGTTTTGTGAGGCGTGACGTTGTAATTTTTCTGAGACTATATTTATTTAAAACATCATAATAAATATTTGCTACATTAAAAAATACCTATGTACGTAAGAAATATATTATTGAACGGTTTATTATTTTAAAAGTCGTTTGTACAACGATACAATAAAGTTTAAATAACACTCAATTGGCCGCATTAATAAGGTGTTAACGAGGGTCTTTCATTTTATGTGATTTTTATTGATATTTAAGTTAAGAGCCTGTTTGCTACCTGCTTTTCGTTCTCATTAGTATCTTATTGGTAAATCGGACCTTATAATATGAGAATTATCTTATTGATAATATTTGAAGCAGCGTTTTAAAGCTTTTCTGAACTTATAAAAGTTACTCTACAGTTATTTTGATTTACCGTTAATTAATAATTTTTTATATGTGTATTGTTACATGTTTTCTACAAATAGGGTAATAAAAAAAATCATGTGTTCCTACTAACCTGCTATAGCCATCCAAGGATAGAATGTGTGATTAGTAGGCTGGTGTTGGACCGGTTGTGCTGAGGCCGCGGCTCCGGGCAACGCGCACTGATTCCCCCAGGGTAGAGCTCGACCAGGACTTGAAGACTCGCTATATCGCGCCTCAGGTGTGCATGCTGCGGGCCTGACTAGGGCTCCTAACCCTGATCCCCATGCCTCTTTCCCACCATAACCATTCTGTGGTTCGCCACCAGCCTTTGAACAATCTGCTTTCGCGTATTGCTGCTCTCCCGCGTAAAGTTTACAAGCGGCTGCCACTGACGCATCGTAAGGCGAATCCTGTGGTCTTGGCTGGTGTAACGCGTGAGGTTGGGCATATGTCAGCCCCAAAGGAAACCCGCGGTACTGGTCGCCACCACCGCCGCCCTGGTGCACTCCATGGGCCCCGTAGAAACCGCCCTGTTCGAAATAGGAGTTCATTCTGATAGGTCACCGACACAAACGTCACTCGGGGAACACTTATGTCATCGCGGCCCCACGCGCCGTGATAACGCGACCTCCGCCGTCACTCCAAATAGACGAGTGAATATTAACTTTATTAATTTTATTGCCTATTAAACGTCACTCAAGCGTCATAATGTATTTCATCGGCGATAAAGGCCGGTCAACGTGTGTTTACTTTTTACGATTATTTTATGAGTCTAAAGCACGTGCTGCGGGTTTTACGAGTTTTTAAACGTTCTTTTGGTGGTAGAGTATATATATCGCGTTGTCACGTGGGAGTGTCAGCAAGTCTCAGGAGTGGTCGGCTAAGCTGATAGTGGACATGTGGTGAGGTATATCGCGAGCGAAGTTTGAAGTCGCGTGTGGCGGGAGCGCGACTATATGCCGGGAGCGACCGGCGCGGCTCGGCTCACGCAGTCTACTGAGAGCAGCCACGCGCGCCGCCCCGCGCACCGCCTGCGATCGCAACACCAACGATTGTTCCGTCCCCTTTTCGCTAATGACTATAAATATTATCAGTAACGCTCTCTTTTCCCTTGCTTATCACTCCTACTGAAACACGTGCCCTTACACCCCTGAAGCATGAACCTCTAAACTCTAAAGGCGGCGCTCTACACTTGAAGCTTCTTTATAAGAGACTCTACTCTACTCACTCAAAAGCTATCCAGTAGATATACTTGAACTACTTTAAATTTTGTAAAATCGGAAAATCTTTAAAAATCACAGAAAGTTTCTAAAGTGGCTCTTGTTAATGTTTAATAACCACTTCACACAGCTTACCGCCCTCAACAAGCAAAAAACATCTACAAAAGGCCAATAATGACTCGGCTACTGAAAAGTTAAGCCGCAAAGTCGTAAACTCATAAACGTACAATTAGTGAAACGGGCCAGTAAAGAAAAGATTTTACAACCACTCTCGGTCGGGCCACAATGAGCGCGCAGTATCGTAACAAGGTGCTGAATAGAGTGAGAAGTCGTAAAGATGATTATTATTTCTTCTACTACCTGTTTTATACGAGCAATGTTCCTGTCCCACTCGCGCGTATGGCGTCTGGAGTAGTCAGAGTGAGATAGAAGGTATTTGTGTGCAGAGTACTGCGTAGCGGGCGCCGTGACATATGTAGCTGTCTCTGTCTAACGCGATGTCGCGTGCAGTGGAAGACGCACTATCGAAGGGTAAACAATAGTGCATTATCGCAAGAGCGTCGATTCGCGGGCAAATGAAGTCATCAAACGAATGAATGGTCTTGGTGGAGTGTACCCAACACGCTTGCATTTTTATTGTAATCTCACCTCTTTAAAGAAATATTTATATAAAAGGGCGCATTATACGGATATTATGATACATTTTATTTTTTTATTTTATTATTCGGACCTTTGGTTATATGTTTTTACAAATATATAGTTCTTTGATATAGGTATTATTATTTATAAAGTGTTTTTTTTTGTAAAATATTATTTTAAATAAAAATATTTTCATTTTGTTTAAATGTTTCATATCTTTGAAAAAATAATAACTCAAGTGACTCTAAATAAAACAGATTATCTTACATTAAGAAACAACTTGATTTTTTTTATTTTAATTAATTTATATTATCATTTTTAAATTCAGAAAATAATATTTAAAATCTATCTGTTTTAATAGAATATATGGTATAACTTAGATTTTACCTAATCGCTATATCTATAAGTTTCAATAGGTAAGAAGATTTAAAGATGTTCAGTACATACTTGTCAATACAGTCAGTAGGTAGCACAGTCTTGTTACCTACTTGTCTGAATAATAAAAACATAGGGTTTTGGAAAGTGAATATTATTTTCGATCTCTACATGATTAAGATGCCATTTATACTAATATTATAAAGAGGCAGAGTTTATTTGCTTATATGTTTGAACGCGCTTATCTCAAGAACTACTAATCCGATTTTTGCATTAAATAGCCCGTTTATTGAGAAAGGCTATATACTATATACCATATAACATATAGTCTATCTATTCCATACTAGCCGCAAAAACGCACCTAGGGACTAACCCGAGCGAAGCGAAGGTAAGTCGCTATATTAATATTTAATCGATTTGTTAAAAATGTGCCTATAAAGTAACCTATTTACTCTGAATTAATTTGACTACTGGATGCTTAGATTAAATTATTTAATAATCCAAGACTGAATGATTGTCCGCTTCATTTTTGATACCAAGATCTCCTTTTTACGCTCATTGATAAAAAATTTAGTCCCTTTTCATATACCTACCAACCATAGGATCTTTGCTGCTGTTAAAGTTCAACTCTGTTGCCTCCGTAAATTAAGTAATATTATTATACTTACGTAAACATTTTTTCTTGTGCTCTATTAGGTGCTGTTTAGAGAAAATATTTTTCAAGGAAGAAAAATAGGTTCAGTAGATACCTACCTAACGTGTTTGTAAAATAAATTACTGCCTGTATTTTACAACTTAAGAAATAGTAACAAATGCTTGTGTATTTTGGTCTTGACCTCTTATTTTACTTATTTTATTGAAGTATAGAATAAATTAAAAAAAATACCACTATATACTTACTTAGGTACATACTTTTTTTTTAATTCTATAGCTAGGTACTTATATTTTTAAATCACACTACTATTACCTATAAATGCGAAAATTTGATTGTGCTTGTGTCTAATGTTCCTTCATGTTAAAACGACTGGACTGATTTGAATGAAATTCTATATACAGATAAACTATAACCTGTAGTAGCATATACCTACTATTAGGCACCTCAGGGCTCAACTGAGCGAAGCGAGGCAAGCCAATACATAATATAAAGATGATCTTTATTTATCGTTGATGTTGATAATGTAATGTTTAGTAGGTATAGATTTCTCAGAGACGAGATATTTTCCCGCAGTAAAAAGTATTCTATATGTTGACCCGGATAACCAGCTATCATCATACCAAATTTCATCAAAAGCTGTCTAGTGCGTTGCTTGTGATGCGTTCCCAGACAGACATACCTACAAAAATTCTAAAAACTATAGATTCTGCCTCTGTATCGATAATAATGACTATTACAATAAGATTTTCGAAGAAACATTGAATGTGCAGATTCGACTCAGTTAGAATTTTATTATGAAAGATAAGTCTCTACTTAAAGTCTCTGCTTAGATTATAAAGTTAATCGAAAATTTTTGCCTACTTATATATTTTTATTAGAACAAAATTATACGTCAGATCTAATAAGATAGCTTGATTCTATTTATAGAGCTTATCTAATTGGAATATATACTTTTCTTTTATAAATTTAAGTGTTTCTCGTACAAATATTTATTGTTCTATTTCATATTTGGTAAAATTCAAGGTGTACTAACGTATAAATACAATGTTTACAATCAAGTTTTGCAAGTAGTGTGTCATAGCGATGACTCCTCGTAATCACGACTTGTACCTACAGTGAGAATAATTAATTAGGTAAATAATTATTAGTAGCCTACTACACAGATAATGTATTTAATTTTTATATTAATTTCCTACTAAATTCAGTAGTTATCTTAATAATTTATACCAGGAACTTTTGTTATAGTAAGATTATTTTTTTCATATGTAAATTATAACTTAAAGTAAGAAACGAGAGCGAAATCTTTGCTTAGATCGTAGCTATCGTTCAAAACTCTACTCGCGTTGTCTACATTCCTTTACTGAAGGTTTGAAAATTCCTGAAAATGTACAAAGGATCCTTTTGCAGACAATTTACTTCAATATACCTTAATGGAAAGCTGAGAATCGTGTGGCAAAGGCTATAAAGATATTCATAGATGGATTTAAGGATTACTTTTATTTTTATTAAATAAATAAGAAACAACATAGTTTATTTAAGCTATATCTACCCACCGAACTTTTGTGCAGCCAAAAACAAGATAGAATGATCATCAATTAAGTTTGGTCCAAATCTATTATATCTACTAATTTGCAGGTTTTGAACGCTAATTAATATTCTCGTAAAAATATTTGTGTTGGTCATATTGGTGTCTTTCAGGATATGGGTTTGTGTAGGTTTATATATTTAATGTATTTAAAAAAATCATATGTATTTAAAAAAATCTCTAAGTTACAATGAGTGTCAAACATTACCTATTTATCGTTTAGTATAAATGATAAATCATGTGTGTCATTTTTCTTTTTCGTTATCTATTTAACTATTATATAGCATAATATTTAATATTGGTACGTAAGTGCAATATGTGGGAATTTCAATTACTTAATATTTTAATACCGATAAAAAAAATTAAAGAGCTTAGAATATAGGAAGTAAAGAAGAAAATACTGAAACTCACGTTTAGATAGGTACGTCTATTGTAAAAGTACCATAATAGTAAAAATTATCATAAATCTAGTGTATTTTCGTCTTTCACTTTATTATTTCAATAAATAATGTGTCAAAAACATAAGATATAATAGTACGTTGGTACCTACCTACCAACTACCTATATTGGAAACAATTTCTGTACGCAAGCGATTTACGTAAAGCTTAAGCGAAACGAATAGATATCATATATAGATACCAATGTACCTGTACCTAATAGTAAATAATTACTAAGTTTTAGGTGGTACCATAATAGTTAATGTAAATAAAGAGCTTTAACGTTTTCAACCAAATATTTCTTTCATCTAAATAAAACAGCATTATTAGTGTTACCTACATCAACTATCGATAAATTGTTACTTTTAACAATAAATTGCGCTATATAAAAGATAAGAACCTGTTTTCAATTCAAAGCTCATACATTATGTAGGCGAATACCGTTGCATTATAGAGTAAATTGAATTTAAAATTTCGTTTAGAATAAAGACGATTTATTATACTGGAAAGCAATATTGTAGCAATTTACCATTTGAAATATTAGCTGACAGATTTTTGAACAGAAAACTCAAGTAAGGAGGCTCATTCGCATTCAAGCGACAGATGCTGATATTCGCTTGGCGGGCGGCGCCCGCGCACCTCGCGCGTGCCTTCTGCGGGTCGTAAACACGATTTTTACTACCACTTAAACGCTCGTAAACGTCACGTGAATTGCGCCGTTTGTAGAACTCTCAGTAAACACCGCTCAGATTATTTCGTATACGCCTTCGGGGCTAAACCTCGATATAAATTCGAAACTTTATGGAGCCGCCCGGCGAACGCACGTGGTTTGTTATTATGCCGTTCTTTAGACATTTATTGAACCATTATTGACTCGTTTAAAGTATCACCCGCTTAATAGAGATAAAGGAGTCGTTGATAGTTTATGTCTTTATCGTACGAGGATACGTTGCGGTATCGAGACTCCGGACAGCGCCTGCTAGTCTGTTTCGACTCGGCGACTGCAGTTTTATGACTGTAATTTTCCTTTTTATCGAGCCTCATGGGTTTATTGCTAGCCATATGATTGATATCAATCAAATGCGGCTGTAATAGATTATTATGACGTCTATGTGAACTGAATCGATTTATTGCCTCCGCGTTTTGTTTACTAAGTCCCAGACAAATGAAGTGTTTTATCTACGAGTAGAGGTTAACGTTGTAAAATAGAATTATGATGCTCGTTGGAAAAAAGTATTAGCAAGTGAGTTCATTAATTCGCTGTTTATGATATCAAAATAAGGATGTAAAAGACTTCAATTACCTATATATTGATATTTACTTACATTGATAACTTAATAAATAGGTTATATTAAACAGAGATAACACATTATATCGATTTATTTAAAAAAAAAAACAAATAAATAGGTAGGTAGTTTATTTATAAAAAATGTTTGTAAAATATTTCATATCTTAATGTGGAATATCTTGTCTTCGTTCTACCTATTAAAAGAAATGTTATAGAGATTTTTTCACCTATGATAAATATACCTGCTCTTTTCATAAATAAAAAAAATATCAAACCTAAACAAATTAACCAAAGAAAAGAGTGAAAAATTTAAATTTGCTTAAATAAATTTGGTTGTTTTTATATAAAATGGAAAAAAACAAATTTTACATTGTTTTATTTTTTGGTAAATTATAGTTTCAGTTAATAGAAAAAAATCATACTAAATAATATTCCCTGGGTCAATGTACAAGGAGCTTAAGCACTTTCACTTCTCTATGCAACTGCATTCGCTACACTTGCACCATCTATTGATGGTTATTATAAGCCGTAATTTTAAGGATTTATTTAAAAAACCATGTAATTTAATAAGAGTTAACATACTGATCGCTTATTTTTTCATTATTCTATATTTATAGCCAAAAAAATATTTAAGCAAGCAATTTTCCAAAGT